CCTGATTTTTTTTTAGTGATTATAGTAAAACACTTAACAATTTTTATTTAATTAAATTATGCAACAAAGAATATAGACTAATAACATGCAAAAAGTAGACAAATTCACTTGCCTCTAAAAAATTTTCTGGCTTTCTAACTATGCAACAAGAGGCTTTACAAATTCACCTAAGCTGGTCGTTAATTTTCCAACGGGAACCATGTTGCTATTCAGAGTGACAATGACGATTATCTGTTCAGAACACGTTATACAATACGCCATTTGACAGATGAAAGCCTTGACTTTCTATTGGTTATAGGTAATATATAATGAAATGTAAGAGAGTGCTATCAACGAATTGTGAAAGAGAGGATGTGACAGGTGGGTGTGGCAGTAGGGGTCTGATTTTCTATTTGATAGCTCTGTAACCAAACAAAATTGAAGGCTATAAAAATTATGGTCTGTTTGAGCAATAACGATTTTATAGAGAGTATTTTACATTTAATTTCATACATTTTGGAGGGGTGATGGATAAAATAGGGATGATGAAGACAAAATGTGTCACGTGTGTCGCACTAGTGGAAATTCAGGAATTTTTTATATATATATTGTCTTGTAGAATTAAGAACTTAAAACTTATATACTATTAAAATATGGATTATTAGCTAAGATTTTATGCTATTTTAATTGGTATAACATAAACAAAATTTTGAATGTAAGACACTAAAACCTTGTGTCATGCACAGTAAAGGGTACCCACTAACAGTTAAACTGGCCAGCTTCTGTCTCAAACTCTGAATCTCTTTACCTGCTAACGTAGAAGGAAAGTACTTCTTTACTAGATGAAGACAGAAACAGCTGTGTTAATACCACACTTTTTGGTCAGACCAGGGTGCATCCTAGGTTTTTTACATCAATGTTAATTTTCACTACACTTTCAAAGATAGGTTTACTTTAAGCTCTTATCAATATGTGCAAACTTCTACACTGCCTATTCACTAGAGTTATTGTTCATTTCACTTAATTGTTAGAAAAGTGTCATGCATTTTTAATTTTGGTTAATCGTATAAAACTGTTAAGAATGTGCAAGTCAAATATTAAAAACAAGAGGGTGTCTACAAATAATGGCTACTCAGAGGTTTTTTTTGTTGGTTACTTTATATGTTCGTCATAAGGCATTATTGTTACTGGCTCACTGGATATTCATCCCAAATGTCTAGCATACTTTCACTCACATGACTATCAATTTCATCTTCAGGAGTATGAAATAAGTGAAGCCCTCTCTGGAGTTGTTTTGATAAAAAAAGGGAGTCCAAAAAGTAAAATTTTGACTGTATTTTGCATAACTTAATTACAGTGGCAGTAAGGGAATAATATTAAATCATGTGAGAATAAAGCATTCTGTGCAGAGGAAGTGAGGCTCTGACAAACAAGTATGCAAGCATATATATTAATAGTACTAGGAAATGTGATAAAACTTGGGTTGAAAACAACATGGTTGATTATTTAGATGACTGTAACTGACATACAACCAATTTTAATTGTGGAGGATATTGGATTCAACAAGTTAATGTCATTTATTAAACCAGATTATAGAATATTGTGGCAATAAACAATTATTGGTTGAATTTAATTTCTGTAATAATGCAATTAATGCTTATTTTTTAATCAAAATAGGTCATTATCATACCTGATGCTATTATTTTTTCTTATTGTTTTTATACATCTATTTATAGACATGTATGCAGTAATTTATAAATAGCTATTTGTTTGAGAATAAGTAATAACACTTTCTCGTAATATTTTCCATTAAATGTGTTATGATAATATTTAAGCAACTTTTTTTTAAGTTAAACTTTTAATGTATTACTCTCCACTTGGGTATGTCCTACAGCTCAGGGGTAAATGTATAGAAGCTTTGCCAGGTGAGTAGAAACAACTCTCCTGAATGACCAGTGTGATATACAGTGTTTGCTTGAGACAATGATTTAAGCAAGTCCCCATCCACATATATCCTTTTTTATGAGGACATGAACTAAATGCAGGGCAACTTCATGAAATATTTTTAAACATATTTCTGAATAAAGATTCTTGTTTTAGTTGTGAAAAGGAAAACTTTGCATGTTTAAAATTCCACATTCTTTACATCCATTAGAGACTGTAGTCTCCCATTCACTTTATAGTAAAATATATAAAACAAGGGAATAGTTTTATAAAGACTATATATTCATTAAGAAGCTATGTTATCTTAAGGTAATGAATATTATGTAAGTACATGTACATTCTCTTTTGTGTGAAATTAATGTGGATCATGTTCACATTTATTAAGCAATTACAATCTTTTTGTTTTAACTTAATATGTATACTCCTTGCATCCATTAACTTTAACATAGTCTTATAGTTTTAGATTATTTTGAAATATGATCACATTCATTAAGCATCTACAGTCTTTCTAGTTTAATCACTTCTCATAATGTTAACATTTATTATGTTATTAACATTTTTTAGTTTTTTAATTATTTAGGATAATGATTGTGTTTTAATTAACTGCAGTCATCTTGAGTTAAAATGTTGTTAGTATCTGTGAAAGAAATAAGAATTATTTTCAGCCTCTTTTTATACAGTTTCTCAGTTATTTGATAGAATGGTAAAAAGTAAAAAAAATATATAATGTGTGTAATGGCAAAGCATGAACTCATTTGTTTTTGTTTTTATGTGTGTATTAACAATATAGCTATTATTTATCTTTGAGGATTTGAGTAAAGCTACTACAAACAGGTGCTTTGTGAGTTTAATGCCTTTTTTTTCAGTAAATCTTAGTATTTAAATCTGTGATAATGTTTGGTTACATTTTGTGTGCTCAAGGCTGTATTATTCTGCTATAGTTTTATTCACAGATGTAACAGTATTTATCTCCATTCTGTTTAGTTGAAAATGGGTGTATTATATAAGATTAAAGTTACTTAACTTTTGTACCACATTATCTCATAACTCTGTCGCTATCTGTTTGACTTTCAGCCATGGGTGCTGTCTAAAGGCAGCTTTACAAGAAATGTTAAATTATCTCTTATTAGTTATCATTAAAGGTCATAGTTGCTTTGTTCATTATAAATTTATATTTGCTCAGAGTGCTTATGTGTATTCCTTTTGCTGATAGTTAGCTTTAAAGCCAGTAAAGTTATTCAGGTATTAAAGAAGTGAAGAGGGTATTTTTTAATGTGTATTCTTTCACACCAATAGAAATTAATATTTTTGATTGTGTGCAGGAACTAGATGGAAAAGGTTTCACCCACTTCGAGCTGTTCGCAGGATTTTTAGATGGAAGATTAAGAGAGATGATGTAGAAGAAAGTCATGGTCCTAATAAAAAATCTCATTCTACTAGTGAATTGCAAAACGTAGAGATTGAGGACCAAAGGTGAATTATCAAATACTTCTTTGGAATGTTGTACATTCATTCTTATTGTGGGTGTTTTTGTTATAATATCTGTTTTATCCTTCTGTTTAGTCTACCAGTATATAAATTTTCTCTTAAAAGCAACAAAGATTTATTTTAAGATAAAATTCCTAGGTATGGTTTCTACTCCCCTCTTTACAACTTTTCATAGTATGGTGTTCACACACATGGTTAGTAGTTTGTGAAATTGTCATACTTTTAAATAATCTGAATTTGTCTGATCATTATTAAACATAAAAGGTAGAGAAATATATAACAGCTGTTCTGGTAGGTAGTGTTTCATATTAATTAATGAACAGTTATAAATATATAAACATTTAAGTTTCAAGAAAGTTGCCATGTCACTTTTTATATTTTCCAGCTGCTTGAGATATGCAGTAGTTGAACAAATATCTTATGTATGCATGACTTGTGACACCTTTCAAAACAGAAATCCTTCTTAATTATGTTGCATGCTGTTGCCTGGGGCACATGGATGGCTTTTCTCTTTGATCTTTGTGGATTATCTATCACCTATTACAAGATGCCACACTTTGTGTACCTCAGCTAGTATATGGCTTGTTGTACGTTTCTTTCTGGATGATTGTAGCGATGCAATTGATTGATATTCCTTTATTTCCCAATTTTACTAATTACAAAGGATATCCTGGTCATGGAAAATCTAAAACTTTGATCTGAAAACATTGTTATAATCTTACTATATGAATATTTTGACTCAGAATGAGCTGTTACTTACCCTTCTCAAAAGTGATCAGTTTTTGTTGGCATCACACTACGTATGATACACCAAACAATGTCCAAATGTTGTTTTAATACATTCCCTTTCATTGCAATTTTATATTGATAGTGGTTGTCATGTGACTAGCATATTCAAAATAATCTTAATATAACATACTCAGTCCTGTAGGTGTTTTATATAGGTGTCAGTATAAAGTTGTAATGCAGCTTCAAATCAGTCCTGTAGGTGTTTTATATAGGTGTACAGTATAAAGTTGTAATGCAGCTTCAAATCATAAGCTGGGACTTCATATAATTTAAACTGTCTTAAGAGTTTTTAAATAAGTTCAATTTTCTTTTTTAAATATTTTTTTGCGAAAGCTTTTATTATAGAAGTAAAATTTGACAAAGTTATTTTGTGGCCTCTGTAAATTCAGCATAATATTTAATAAGGTTGCTTATTTAGTTGAAGTGTTCATGGTGATACCAGAACCCGAAAAAAGAATATATATATCTTGGACTCAGTGAAATTTGGTTATTAACAAGATAATTTTCAATATGAATTAATAAACTGCTATACCATTATTATTTTAATGTACTTTGATAGTTTCAACATAATAATGTTAAATTTAAAGTCATCACTAGTTAATAAGACAGTACTGTAAGTTGATTGAAAGGATTAAAGTCTTTCTTTATTGTTTTAGATATAACAAACCAGCCACACCATATGCTTCAACAATCAGTGTTTCTCATGACAGTATCTTTTCTCCAGACCAAAATGATGAAATGGACTCTGGTAACCTCCAGGGAGCATTTAGTTCTTCTTTGCCATTACATTCTTCTGGTTTAAAGGATTTCAGTGTAAGAAGAGCTATAATCTTATGTTTTATAGAATTGAACTTTATCTAGTTCATTTTGATGAAAATAAATTGATAATGCTACATACATATTTTCACTTTTGTGCTTAAATACTTATTATCAACTTACTGTAAGTTTGTTACTGTTATAAGTAATTTTATGTACACACCCATACTTTTTAAAGTATTAGATGGCTGAGCATCTTTGTTGAATAATGATTTATGAGCATGCTTTTTAATAGGTGATAGTGCTACTTCTTAGTTTATTTTAAGATGTTGGTGATTATTAGTTTTATAAAGTGTCCAGTTAAGCTAAACTGTAGTCTTATATTGTTTTATTTTCAGCACTGACTGTGCTTGCAAAAATAAACATGTTGGAAAACATCCTCAAAGTAGAATATCAAATATTGTAATTAAAACATTAATTTGAACAATATCTTTTTTTCTATTGAGAAAAGTCGCCATGTTGAAGGAAATTTTGGAAAATGAAGAAAAGTTTAGTTAAAAACATAAAAAAGGCTTATACCACGTTACAATTTTAGTTCAGCTATAATTTAATACTAACATTATAATGCAAAGTAGCCATTTAATATTAGCCATTATATTTATTATGCTTCAGACTATTAAAGATATTTATTTAATCTTAAAGATGTGAAGCCTTGTTCTTTCCATTTGCCCTGATGAAGCAGTCAAATTCTCTGAAACTGCTATAACTCGGTAACAATTGGTTGATCAAATGATAGATTTGGCTTCATATTTATTTTTAGTATTTTAAATGGCTTGTCTGCCTAATAAATCAGAAGCTTAAATTAGTAGCATAAGTGTTGCATATTTTTCAAATTCTTTATAACTACAGATTTACAGTTTAAGTAAAAGAAACTCAAAACATCAGGCATATGAAGATGTAAAGACTTTTAGGAAAATTTTAAGAAAATTAGTATACTTTTTGAGAACAATAGAAGTAAGAATAAATATTTACGTGTAACTTTTGAGATATGTTTGTAAGATTTCAAAATAATCCAGACTTCTAGAATATTCAATTACCCGGAAAGTATATATTTTTTAGTTACCCCTCAGTTAGTTGCATGGGGTCCTTATGACCTCATGCAATTTCTTTAATTAATTATTATGTTATAGATGGCACTTTAAATAGCCCTGCCCACAGTAGCTTCCTTAATTGTGTGTCTGTCCATGTTGCAGTCTTCATCAGTGTTCTGCAGCTGTAGGTTTTTGCAAAGTTTTAAATTGGGGTCATATTTACCCCACGCAACTAATTGGATTATAATTTTGGCAAGGTCATTTTTTTTTTTCTGTGATTTTGATTTACTGATTTTATATGTTTTTCTTAGTTTATGGCTAAAAGATGTCTTTTTATTCAATTTCTTTTCTGGCATTTCTCTCTTTGATCATTTGTTTTAGATGATATGTAATTACTTCTTGCACATCTTCACATTGCCACTTTGGCTTTTATTTCATACAGATGGCTAGAAAAGGACATACCACTGCTGCAATATGTTTTATTTTACCACATGACAAATTAAAGGTTAAAGATATTTATTAGATTTAATACTGACTTTTTTATATCATTCTTAAGTATCATCATAATGGATGTTGGAAAGTGTGATTGAAGATTTTTTTGGTAAAATGTATTGCTTTTTTGTAAATTTTGTGGCCATGATGTGTATAATGTGGTTACTAGCTAATAGAGGACATGATCCTCATTGACCAAGGTGCCAGTAGCTTTATGGCTAGGCATGTCAAGAGCCTTGGGGATCAAGATGTTAAAAGCATGATGTCTCTATGATTCTCAATGACGAGATGCTGAAAGCATGATGGCCATTCATTTGCTGAAGTATTAAAAGTATCTACTCAGCGTTCACTTTAGTCATGTGTATTGTTTACATAAAGCGCTTAACCTGAAGACGAAAGTTGGAAGACTTTTGAAATGTCGTCCTCTACACTTGTGTTTCTACAACCGGCAGTTGCCATCCATTCAACTTAGTTTCATCATGTTTATTTAACTACTAGTAACTGGAAGAGATAAGCAATCAAAAAGTACTGTGCTTGAATCAGAAGTAACTGCAACTAGAATAAGAGTCACTGCTCTTTCATTTTTAACATGTCTTCATTTGACGAAAAGGGTAATGTTACATGTCAATTTAACCAATAATTGTTTACTAATTAATCAACAAAAATATTTCAATAATTAAATTAGTATAAAAAACAAACAGCATTTGCAATACTAAATGATATGCAATGTTAAAGAACAAAAAAGACTGTCAATATAACATAAAGAAAAAAAAAAGTACTGTTGACTCTCAGTTATCTGGGGAAATGGAGGGAAAGAAAAACGGATTATTCAAACACGTGAAGAAAGCTTACATATAAGTATGTATTTCTAAGAAAATGAAAAAAGTTGAGAAATGCATTTTTACATAATACATATTAAAAGGTTATACATAATAAAACAACATGATAGGCTTTACTAAAAATCATTTAAAGTTTTTTGTATTTTTGTTTGATAAGGTTTTTTTCTGAATTGCAGAAAACAGCTGCAATAATTTCACTGTTAAACCTTGTTCAGTCTTTTCAGTAATTTTGAGTTTCTGTTGCATTGCTAACAATTAATTTATATTTTGAGATTTTGTTCTTGTTAGTCAATAAAACTGCAACATGTAACACTAAAAAATGATAATAGAATGAAAATATGAAATAATGAAACAAAATAAAAGTAGAATAACATAACATATAGGGACAACAAGAGACCTATTGGTCCATCTTGGCTGTTCCATCTTTTAAACTATCAAATAAATAAATCAAAAGAAAATCTTAAAGCCAGCCCTTATCATTCATACAGTTACCAAGCTTTCTCTTAAACCCACTTAAATTTAATGCCTCTACAACATCCAAAGGCCAACCACCCTGTTAGAAAAATAAAACTGTCTTAGCTGAAGATGACTCCTACCCTGCCAAAATTTATATTTGTGTCTCCTAGTCCTACTAATCTCACTGTTAAATGTGAAAAAAGATGATACATCAATACTATCAATTTCCTTTATAATCTTAAATACCTCAAACAGATCCCTTCCGACTCTTCTTTTTTAAAGAGAAAATGATTTCAGAGATCTTAATCTTTCCTCATACTCCATCTCAGTCGCTATTCTAGTAACCCTTCTCTGAACCCTTTCCAACGATTCAAAACTGAACACACTACTCCAAATGTGGCCTAACCAATGACTATTCAATGAAATTATAACATCTTTAGATTTGTATTCAATATTTCTGTAGATACAACCTAAAATCCTATTTGCCCTACCATCAGCAACAGTACACTGCATGGATGGATGGCTTAAAAGACAGATGAACAAGAACACCAATATCATTTTCTTCCATAAAATTGTTAACGTTATTCCCATCCAAATTACACTTATAATTCAAATTATGATAACCCACATGCAAAGGCCAACCAACCTGTTAGAAAAATAAAACTGTTTTAGCTGAAGATGACTTCTACCCTGCATTTATTATAATCAAAACCAATCTGTCATTTATTTGCTGAATCATTAAATGATCTAAATCCTTTTGTAAAGCGCAGCATCCTTTTCACAGTTAGCAACACCCAAGACCTTAATATCATCTACAAATTTAAGTAATTTATTGACCATTCTTTCATTTATGTTATTGATGTAAATCAGAAAGAGCAAAGGTCCTAAGACTGAGCCTGGAGTACCCCACTTGTGACAGTCAAATTACGTTTACAACAACCCTCTGCATTCTTCCATCCAGTCACTTGTCTATTCAATTAGCTAACTTATAACCCACACACATTTAGAGATATTTTTTACAAGATTTTTATGTGGCACCTTTTCAAATCCTTTATGAAAATACAGAAACACTAAATCTACACTCTGACCCTCATCCATACAAGCAGTAACTTTTTAAAAGAATGTCAAAAGATTTGTAAGGCAAGATTTTCTCGCAGTGAAACCATGTTGACTATCCAGTTAAAATTCTAAACTTTGTTATATGACTTTGCAAAGCATCTCTTATTAGACTTTCCAAAACTTTTCCTACAGCTAATAGGTGTAAAATTACTGGGAAAAGCTTTATTACCTCCCTTGAAAAGAATAGTGACATTAACTAATTTCCAATCTAACTGCCCACTATTCAAGAACTTACAAAAATAGTAGCAACTTGTTTCCAATCCTTAACCTCCTTCAAAAACTTTGGGAAATTTTATCTGGGCCAGGAGACTTATCATCTTTTAAACTTCCCAATTTTTTCTTAACAAGCTCAGAATTAATGCAATCATATTGTCCAACCTTATTGCCATCTATCAGCTGTTCAAGATGAGGAATACTGCTTAAATCTTCATTAGTAAAAACGGAAGAAAAAGCAGAATTTAATAACCCAACCATCTCATAATCATCAGATACAAGCCTTCTTTTATCATCCCTCAGTGGTCCTACCCCAATCCTAACATTTTGTTTACCTTAAATGTACTTAAAGAAATCCTTACTGTTAATTTTTACATTTTCAGCCAACCTTTTTTCATACGTCGTTTTTGATGTACTAATTTCCTGTTTCACCAACGTCCTTGATATTCTATAATCTTCCATCCTGGTTAGTCCATCCTCTCTTTTAACACTTACCGGAACTTGGCCTTTGTTCTTCCACTGGTAGTAAGTACTCCAACCCTAGTATGCATTGGTCTTCAATGTCAGCCAAGTGTACTTTGTGTCTGTCCTCCATGCCCATGAGCTCAATAGTTACCCACACTGGTCCCCACAACCTTGCATAATGTCCTGTCACACAACAGAGCTTCTGTATGGCTTCTGATACTCCTTTGTGATCTAACATCTTGATACTTACAAGGGTTTGCTGAGATGTAGAATCTATGACAAAGTTGCACTTTTGGCCATCCAGTTTTCCTGTCACGTAGACACTATGTGTGCTTGCCATTTTACACTTAGCTCTTGGGACTTTCACATTGGGTATTGGTGG